ATGCAAGAGAATGAACATACATACATACATATATATATATATATATATATATATATATATATATATAGTAGAGTAGAGTAGTATATAGAAACTGGTCAGAGACAAGATGTGGATGGTTGCCATTCTAGGGTGCTCCAGTGCCAGTTACTGCAATAAGGATTAACCCAAGATAACACAGACAGCAGCTACAGTTTAATTCAAGTCCCACATTTATCAATAATTTATTAGAAAGACAGTAAATAAGAACTCTCCATTTTAAACCCCTGTCATTTTCAGACACACCCAATTAGTAACTTCAAAGTGAAATTTTTCACTACTCTACTTCAAATGCTGCGTAAACTGAACTTTTGGTAAATGAGGTTGTCACACACACCAGAAGCCTCTGCCATGGATTAACAATACACAAGAAAACCCCCCACATGGCCTAGCAGCAGACGGAGGCTGTTGTTCAATATGTTACATCTTCACAATGAATGCCTTATTTCTTACTTTGATTATCAAGTAAATTTCAGCAACACACATTTTCAATTTAAGTCATTAAGTGTGTTTAAATCACTGATAGCTCGACAATAAGCACTATCCAGATTGTTGTATACCATTGGTTGATTCCAATCGGAAGCTGAAGCTGGACTGCACCTGGTTGCATCAACACTTTTTTGTGGTCTTTTATTGCCTTTAATTCATAGCGACAGCTGAAGATAGACAGGAAAGGGGGGTAGACAGAGGGGATGACATGCAGCAAAGTTGCATAAACAGTTACTTTGTTACAGAAAACAAATTATATATTCCTAAACTGTATCTTATATAACATTTAATGTTTTGTTTTTCAAAAATGCTCAACCACTTGAACTATACGCAGGTATGTAGCAGTGGGAAACTGATTTACTAATCTTACTAATCTCTAACGATTATTCTCATTATTGATTCATTTGTTGATTATGTTGATGATTAAATTATTAAAAATGTAGTCTAAAAAAGTCATGAAATAGTAAATAATTACCATCACAATTCCCTAGAGCAAGATATGATGCATTCAGATTGCTTGTTTTAACCAACTCAAGCAGTAAGCTCAAAAGATATTAAATTAAGTTTTATAACCAGGTTTGGGAACAAAGACCACGCCTTGCACTCATCTCATTTCCGCTCAAACTTACTTAAGCACACCATATCCGTTCACTCGCTCCTTGACTTGTTTCCCACATCCCTCCCCCAAACGCTTTTTTTTTCTTTCTCTCCCTCTCCTATCCAAATACAGGAACCACTGGGGCTCTCTACAAGAGATACAAAGAGACAGCTCCACCTTTCAGAGTCTCACAACCCCACTCAGTTCCCTCTTACCATCGCGCCGAAACCTTCTGTCCATTCATCCATCCGCCAACAAACATTCATCCCTCGACCTTCATCCTTTATCCCTGAACTCTCATCCCTTCTTCCCTTCATCCCTCAACCCTCGACCCCTACCCCTCATCTCCTCATCCCCTCATCCCCTCATCCCCTTATCCCTTCATCCCCTCATCCCTTCATCCCTTCATCCCTTCATCCCTCATCCCTTCATCCCTTCATCCCTCGACCCCTACCCCTCATCCCCTCATCCCTTCATCCCCTCATCCCTTCTTCCCTTCATCCCTCAACCCTCAACCCCTACCCCTCATCTCCTCATCCCTTCATCCCTTCATCCCTCATCCCTTCATCCCTTCATCCCTCAACCCCTTCCCCTCATCCCTCAGTATACCACATCAGTTCACATTTGTTCATTATGTGCAATGAACTTTTCTTATTTCATATATTCGATGGCTTGGTCATTGTTAGTAAATTGTAATTTAAGTTTGTTCCCTTACATCACCTAACATGAACTTCAATTCATAAAATTCTCAGGGATACATCGGCTATAAATCAGGGGCACAAAGCATTTACGAGGCACAACTTTTAAAACCAAAATAGATCGGCATGTGGGTATTAAAGATATTTTGATGATTCGCAGGTTAAAAGCCAAGGCAATGGTATTTAATACGTAGTGGTGTCCTGTATCCCAATAAAAGTTCAAAGGAAGTAAGGAGTTACTCTGGCCTAGCCCTGTTCACACAGGGTGAGAGGCAGGCTACACCCCGGACAGGTCACACATATAGGGGCAATTATTCTGTGGGCTATTTCCAGTCAGTGATTCACCAAACTTATAATAGGTGCAGTACATGATAATCAACCTGAATTTTATTTCCCATGTCATTATACTTAAACCAAAAATTAACATTAAATCATCACATAAATCCCTGGACAAACTCAACGACTCAGAGGTCTGCAACCAGACTAATGCAAATATGACAGATGAGACAGAGCTAATCCCTGCACCACCGTGCCACAATCTCTACAGTCATAGGTCCCAGTTGTTCTCAAAAGTAAAACCACTAACATGCCATTATTGCATTACTATTTGCAATTTGTCCATTGTTGCACACTGACAGTCCTCTGGCAGAAAGGCACGGAAGGTAGTGTCAGGGACTTGTGATGTTGTGAACTAATTAGCATTAAAGGAAAATCTTGGCTGCTGCTTCCTGTTTGGAAGTTTAAATTAGCTGAAAAACTGCTGAAATCATTACCAAAATGTTCATTACATTTGGAGCGTTGCTACCTAGTTGGATAGATGACCTGGTTGGTTAAATGCAGGATAATAATTGACAGTCTGGATGCATACACTTTCAATTCCATTTTCAAGAACTGTTTTATATAATTTAGATAAACTGGACTTGTCTAAAACCTCTAAAATCCTGTCCTGCTGTAAAGTAGAGTCCTCGTGTTTCCATATGTCAGCAGGTAAAGTGGCGAATTGGTTTCATTGTCTGTAGTTGCCCCTTTCTGGAAATAAGTGGGTGGATATAGTTGGTGGTAATGGCTGACTGATCCCTCAGCTGGAAACTACACTTATACATATGTTAGCTTGTCATTTGCGCAGGTTTGCAGTGATTCCTCGTATTCTACTTTGTTGCCGTGAGAACTTTTTGACTTTCACTGGTGCCTGTGCTCACGCCTGGGGGGGG